AGGAGGGAGCCTCCATCGAGAAAATGCCTCCATACGATCCAGCTGTAGGATATTTTCTTAATTAGTGATTGATAGGGAAGGCCCACCCCATCGTGGGTAGGGTCTTTCCTGGGCTGATGGTCCTGAGTTCTATAAAAAAGCAAGCTGAGCAAGATGGAGGAGCAAGCCAGTAAGCAGCACCCCCATGGCCTCTGCGTCAGCTGCTGCTTCCAGGTTGCTGTGTTGTTTGAGTTCCTGCCCTGACTTCCTTCAATGATGAACAGTGATGTGGAAGTACAAGTCAAATAAACCCTTTCCTTCTGATACTTGCTTCCTGGTCATGGTGATTCCTTGCAGCAATAGTGGTGATTCCTTGCAGCAATAGGAACTTTAAGACAAAGCCATAGTCCATCATTGCAGGAAGTCAGGGTGGGAATGCAAGGAGGCACTTGAAATAGAAGCCTGAGAAGCATTGCTATTTGCTGGTCCAGGCGTGGACTCCTGCTTAGCTTGCTTTCTCAAACATGCCAGGACCATCTGCTGTCTGAATGGTACCTCCCACCCTGGCATGGGCTCCAACAGAAGACAGCAATCAAGACAGTGCCCCACAGACATAGCCACAGGCCGGTCTGACCCAGGCAGCTCTTCAGCTGACACTCTCTCCTGTAGACTGTGTCACACTGGCTGTCAAAGTCAAATGTGGCAAACATTATCTCTTGCTACTTTCCTTCTCTCAAGCCTCTACTTCTTATGAAGTTGTGTTTCTGCTCTCACCCAGGTTCTTTTTTCCTTGTGTCATTGATATCTGATTCTAGATCACAGAAAGACTATCTAGGATTCTGGATTGGCAGAATTAATGTAGTAAAATGGATGGGTTTTATTATCAAAAGTAATCTACAGATTCAGTGAAATTTTCATAAAATACTTCACAGATCTATAAAAACCACCCAAGAATTTACATAGAACTATAAGAGATGAGAAATAACCAAATAAGTCATCAGGAGATGATGACTGGAGTTGTCTCAATACCTGACCTCAGATTATAGTGCAGCTGAGGCTGGAGAGAACCCACATGGCAGCTTACATTTGTCTGTAACTTTAGTTTCAGGGCTCTGACACCCTCACATTGACATTCATGCAGGTAAAATAATAATGAACATGAAACAAAACTAAATCAAATTATATTGCAGAGCCACAGTGACAAAGGCAGCCAGATACTGCTAAACAGCAGATCACACATAACACACACATAAACATGTAAGTTTGCATATATGTATATTACAACAAAAAAAGGCCATGAATTTGAAAGTGAGCAAGGAGGGACTGAAGGGAGGAAAGGGAAGGAGAAAATCATTATAATTATAGTGGAATGCCCCACCCAATATACCATTATTAAGGGAGAAAGGACTTATTTGGCTCACAGTTCCAAGTTACAGCCAATCATTGTGAAAAATCAAGACCACAGGAAGTCAAACAACTAATCACATCACACCCATAGTCAAGAGCAATGAGCAATGAGCTCATGCATACTGTGCTCAGTTCAGTTTCTCCACTCTCATATATACACAAGCCTCTGCCTAGGGAATGGTGCCACCCACAGTGGCCGAGTCTTCCCTCTAGTCAAGATTCTTCCCACATGTATACTTAGAGATGACCCTTAGACAGTCTCTCACAGGTGTTCCTGGAGGCTTGCCTCCTCCTAGTGTTGACAATTAATACCATCAAACCACTTTGAGGAGGCTGGGGAAATACCTTTGAAGAGAATCAACCAACTCTCTTGTGTCATAATCTATAACCTCAACCTTGGCTTCAATTCTAATTTAATAGATGGTGGAAATAAAACAACAACAACAACATGGGAACAACAAAGACAATTTGTTGCAAGGTTGTTTTATTGTAATACAGGAGGTGTATATAACTGAGACAGTGTGGACTCAGAAGCAGGGAGGGAGGGACCAGTTTCACTGCATAAGAAGTGTGTTTTGGATGCTGTAGCATGGGGAAGCAGCAGGTCAACTAAGTATAAGTGGGGTGTCTCATGTGGTCAGTGATGATGGATTTCTGATGCTCATCCTAAATTGGAAGCAGAGGCATTAGTAGGGAAGTCATCAGTAACTGATTCAGTCCTAGTCATTTGGATCTGACAAATCCGGGACTGAAGTCTGGCATCCTGGATGGGTTACTGGAGGCCAGATTTCTACGTTAGATTGGTTATGATCAGTCTGTGTGTCTTGTCTACCTACCCTCTGCTTGACCTTGCAGATCAACTCTGTTCTCCTCACTTGGACCCTGTGGGTGCTAAGGCAGAAGCTCTGCAGCGTCAGCTCAGAAGTCTCAAAACTCAAGGATGCCAGGTGCAGCCTCTTTCTGACTTTTGTCCCTTTTTCTTCCTTCTTCTGACAGAGCCTCACCAGCCAATTTTCTGTATATATCATGTGCCTATGCAGGTACATGCATGCTATGACACAAATGTAGGGGTCAGAGGACACCTTGGTATTTTTTCCATCTTGTTTGAGATAGACTTGTTTGTAGTTCATCACTGTGTATGCTGGGACATCTGGCTCAATCCTCCTGTCTGTTCCTCCCTTCTCAACACAAGGGTATGGTGATTACAGATTACACATTTTGCACTTGACTTTGTGTGGGTCCTCAGGATTTGAACTGAGGTCCTCACATTTGTGCACCAAGCAGCAATTTACCCATTGAGCCACCTGCTGGACTGTGACCACCTTTTGTATATTCATGGCATTCAAGTGATGGGGCTTGTACAGAATAGCAGAGTCCAGGTGTCAAACTGCCTATTCCATTGATTCCATTTATGATTTGTGTGACATTACATTGGTCACATGACCTTCACGAAGCTCAGTTTCTTCATCTGTAGGGAAAGAATAGTAATATGTTTTTCTTTAGGTAGGTAATAAGCATTGACACAATTGCTGGGAACACCAAACCTTCTATAGACTGTCAATACATTCAGTGTGAGCACATGCACATGAAAACATGGACATACATGCACAATGCATACACATAAAACATGGATATATATGCATAATTGTTGAAATATGAGCGGCGGGGCTGCGTCCCCAACACCCCGGCCGCTTGGCTAGCTCACGCCCGAAATAACAACACACAAACTGTATTCATTTAAAAACTGCTTGGCCCATGAACCCTAGCCCTTACAGGCTGATTCTCGCACCTGGACTAACCCATTTCTAATGATGTGTGTAAGCACCCCAAGGTGCGCTTACCGGAAAGATTCTAGCCTAAGTCCATCGTGGGTTGCAGCTGCCTGGGAGAGCTGAGCATGGCGTCTCTGCTCCAGCAGAGCTGTCGGGTCTCTCCGGGAGCAGAGCAGAGTCTGACCTCACTTCCTCTTCCGCCCAGAATTCTATTCTGTTTACTCCTCCCATCTATGTTCCAGCCATGAGGCCAAGCAGCTGGTTTATTATAACTTAACCAATGAAATCAACAGATTGATATATGACACTCCCACATCACTTCCCCTTTTTCTGTTTAAAAAAAAAAAAAAAAAAAAAGAAGGCTTTAACTTAACATCCAAAGCTCTAGAAATGACAGAGACATCTCGCTGCCTGGACAGTCACCCAAAGTTCCTCTGTACCGTTGGGGCATCCATCTTCGGCCTACAGGCCCATAGTTTCCAGCAGACATTTCCACAAAGCAGGAAATTTCAAAGGCAGTCACTATCTGCTTGTCCTGAAGAATGTCTTGCAGACTCTTTCATGAATCAGGAACCCCGAAAGATCATCTCACCTTTAGGCAAGTTCAGCAGTCCTCTCTCTGCGGGTTCTCTGTGTCCAGTTTATGCAATAGTCCAGGCAAGAGCAGTTTCTTGCCCAAATGGCTATCAAACTCCATAAGGATCCTCTTCGATGCCCATCTTCCTCTTGAAGTAGATTGGTGCTGCCAGGAGCAGAGTGTCTCATTGTCATGAAAAGTCCTAAGTTATTAAAACATGTAAAATGCCATATTCTCTAGCCTTTGAAAGATATGAAGAATGCCTATCTAAAATATATCTATGCACATCTAGAAAATCTTAACTAACATAACTACAAGCTTAACTACTATTAATGATTATTCATTAACAACCTATATACATTCAAAATTGACCTTAAATCTCTATCAATAAAGCAAAATCTATACTAATGCAAATTATTCATATCTATATCATATCCCCCTTTAAATGTAAAAGAACATTTATAAACCATATTTGGGAACATGGGCGCAGTTTTTTCTCTCCAAACTGCTTCCTGCTGAATGGGGGCGTCGTTAATTAGGTCTTTCATGGTATAACCTGTGTGCTAGTTTCATCTCAGTTGGCAGTTGAGCGAAGCAATTTTCTGAAGGTATTCACAGCAACCGTTCAGGAGGGCGTGGTCCATCATACCATATCGGAATAGAAGAAATGAACAGGGTCTCATCCTCTGTGAAAACAAAAAAAGAAACTCCTTTCCAAAGTATCATGTCCTTAGATCCAAATTTCAAAGTCAAGGCATCAAAATCTCTACGTTGGATTAGTTCAGCAGCATTTATAAACAAATATCTTTTGGCAGCTGTTGCTCCTTCCTCAGCATTCAAACAATTCAAAGAGAGCATAATAGTATACAGTATCAAGATTCTCTGTGTATTTTCCATCTTTGTACGCTTTATTTTAACCTCTATTTCGTTTATTTTTACTTTTATATTCTCTGTATCTCTTTGACCTGGAATAACTCTGTAGACCAGGCTCTCCTTGAACTCTCAGAGATCTGCCTGTCTCTGCCTCCCAGGCATTGGGATTAAAGGTGTTTGCTACCACACCTTGAACTCACAGAGATCTGTTTGTCTCTGCCTTCTAGGCACTGGGATTAAAGGCGTGTGCTACCACACCTTGAAGTCACAGAGGTCAATCTCCCTCTGCCTCCCAAGCGTTGGGATTAAAGGCGTGTACTACCACACACAACTTCTCTTTTTCTTACTTTTTTTTTTTTAAGAACTTTTAACTTTTAGCTTGCATATATTTTTAACACACTGTAAATCATTTAAACATTTTCTTTGTCTTTGAATCTCTTTACTGTATATCTCTCTTTTTCTGACCACACGAGCCTTTAAATTACTGAGCAATATGAGTAGGATTAAAGCCGTGGCTTTGCCAGCTAGATCCAGTCCATTCCTTAGCTTTCCAGCCTCATGGCGGAGATACAGGCTGTAGCCATGTTTATAGCCACAATTCTATGGCGTTTCAAGGTCCCTGCCAGCCAGCGAGCTACAACAGACAACAGTCAAGTCCTCTCTCGGTAGTTGGCCCTCCTGCCTCAGTCAGAGTTTGCCCTGGCAGGACGGCCCAGAAAGCCGGCATTTTTAAACAGCACAACTTTTTTCCTGCTACGGCTGAAAACCGAAAAGCATGCGTTCAGCTTTTCACCAACACCGTTTAAGTGTTTCGTGGCAGGACCTCTTAATGAGCTGCAGGGTTTTGCAGCTGAAGCTGAGTCAGGAAGCCTCTCTTAGATGAGAGCGCTTGCTTGCCTCTAGCAAGCGGAGCAGACCCAAGAAATTTCTGCTACCAAGAAAACATGCTTCACTCCATTCTTTCCCAAGCTTTCTCAGGCTTTTTGTGGATTCAGTTAGCCACACGTCTGGGCGCCATCTGTTGAAATAGGAGCGGCGGGGCTGCGTCCCCAACACCCCGGCCGCTTGGCTAGCTCATGCCCGAAATAACAACACACAAACTGTATTCATTTAAGAACTGCTTGGCCCATGAACTCTAGCCCTTACAGGCTGATTCTCACACCTGGACTAACCCATTTCTAATGATGTGTGTAAGCACCCCAAGGTGCGCTTACCGGGAAGATTCTAGCCTACATCCATCCGGGATTGGAGGAGCTTCATTGCGTGCATCTGCCTGGGAGAGCTGAGCATGGTGTCTCTGCTCCAGCAGAGCTGTCGGGTCTCTCCAGGAGCAGAGCAGAGTCTGACCTCACTTCCTCTTCCGCCCAGAATTCTATTCTGTTTACTCCTCCCATCTATGTTCTAAGCTGAGGCCAAGCAGTTGGTTTATTATAACTTAACCAATGAAATCAACAGATTGATATATGACACTCCCACATCACATAATGCACACACACATACATGCTCATACAGATACACATGAAAATATGGGCATTGTATTAGGGTTTTAATTGCTGTGTAGAAACACCATGACCACAGTAACTTTTATAAAGGAAAACATTTGAGGTGGCATGTTGAGAGGTTTCTGTCCCACCTGTTCCTTCAGCTGTTTAGTTCCAAAGAAACACACAAAAGTCTACATTAATAATAAACTGGTTGGCCTATTAGCTCAAGCTTCTTACTAACTAACTCTTACACCTTAAATTAACCCATAATTCTTGTCTGTGTTAGCCATGTGGTTTGGTACCTTTATGTCAGTGAGACATTCTCATCTTGCTTCCTCTGCATTTAGGTGATGACTGTAGACCAAGCCTTTCCTCTTCCCAGAATTCTCCTGCCAATACTTCCTGCCTGGCAACTGGCCAATCAGCATTTTACTAAACCAGTAAAGTGACAAAACTTTACAGAATACAAGACCATTGTCCCACAGTAGTGGTGGCTTACAGTTTCAGAGGTTTAGTTCATTATCATCATGGTGGGGAACACGGTGGTGTGTAGGCAGAAATGGCACTGGAGAAGGAGCTACTACATATTAATCCCACAGGCAACAGGAAGTAGACTGTGACACTGGAAGTAGCTTGAGAATAGGAGAACTGAAAGCCCACCCCCACATTGACACACTTCCTCCAACAAGGCTATATCTACTCCAACAAATTCACACCTCCCAATACTGCCACAGCCATTGTGGGCTATTTTCTTTCAAACCAACACAGATATGCACACACATGTACACCAACATGGATGTATGCATACATGAACACACATTCTTACACACATGAACTCATGCATGCATACATATTTACAAATGCACACATGAACATAGACAAACATGGACATATGCACAAATATAAGTGTGGATACATGCACATATACATGCAAATAATACAAACATGCACACACATACTCCCACACCCAAGTATACATATACATACATGCACAACATGCACACACTCTCATGAGCACACATGTAAAAACCCATACACTCAAATGTAAATATGCAATGCACATTCACACATGCATTTTCAGCCACACAAAGCACATATATGCATATAAAATGCACATCCACCCACATGCATGCACACATGAGCATACACATGCATACATGCATTCATATACACATGTACACATACCACACACATATGCATACACAGAGATACACACACTACACAGAAATGTGAGAAAACACTAATATTTTTAAATGTCTGTCTATTTTGAGGCAGATTCTCCCATAGGACCAGCAGGTCTGAAATCCATGATTCTTGGGTGCTAGGGTTACAGGAAGTCATATGGTCTGGCCTGGAATCTCTTTCTCTGGCTAGGGAGACAGTGTGAGCCCCTGAGTGGAAAGTGTGAGGTACAGAGAAGGTGTCTCACAAATGTCTGAAAATTAGTGAATGATGCAATGATTCCCTGATTGGCCCTGAGCCTGGTCCATGCTCAGCACAGCAGGTGGCCACTCACTTCCTTTTCCTCTTTTCCTTCACACTGTTGTCACCATCGTATTATCTTAAAAAACAGCTTCGACTTTACATGTTCTCTGTCTCTCTCTTCCTCCATCTGTCTCTCCCAATCTAGCCTTGATATCTAAATAAATTCACATAATAAATGGCATTTACCTAGATTTTTATTTATTATGAAGTTCATAGGATTTGCCCACACTTGTCAGCTATCAGTGCCTCATGCCTTTTTATGGCAGCATTGAATGGCTGTGCCCCATTTTCTTTATTCCCACTTGTGTATGCATGTGTGTTGTATGTATTTGTGTGTATGTGTATGTAATTGTGTGTTGTACATGTGTATTCATACATGTGCTCTTGTTTTCCTGGAGACTAGAGACTGACATTGGTGTCTTTCTCCATCATTTCCCCCTCACCTCTAGTACTTTATTTAAATTGATATGCACATGTGTGTGACCTCCTCTTAGAGAAGTTTGACCAAAAGAAAACCAAACGGTGAATTCTCCACTTCCTTGCATGTGCTTCCTGTCTGTCTTCAGTCTGTGGTCTGTGGTCTGTCTGACCTACATGTGCTATATGTTGGATCTGTCTTTATTGCCTGTGTGTGTTGTCTATCTGTTGTGCCTCTGTCTAACAAAGGGATCATTCTGTGTTTATTGTACAGCACACACACACACATGTTGTGTGGAGCTGCGGGCTGCATTCCTGCCGCCCTGCTCCCAGCTGCCTGGCTAGCGTATGCCCCGAAATAACAACACACAAACTGTATTCATTTAAACACTGTCTGGCCCATTATATCTAGCCTCTTTTAGGCTAATTCTCACGTATTAATTTAGCCCATTTCTAATACTCTGCGTAGCACCACTAGGTGTGCTTACCAGGAAAGATTCAGCATGTCTGACCTGGCGGCTGGCTGCATCGCTTCTGGCTCTGAGAGGAGCTGCCCTGCATCTGAGCTCACTTCCTCTTCCTCCCAGCATTCTATTCTGTTTACTCCGCCTATCTAAATTCTGCCCTATCAAATGAGCCAAGGCAGTTTCTTTATTGACCAATGAAATCCCACATCATTCACACACACACACACACCAGCATGGAAAAGGTCAAGGAATTACTTATAGAAGTCTTTCATAGAGTTTTACAAGGGGAGTAATTACTTTACTGACCACAGCTGACCTAGGAGAGCACTCAGAACTGCAGATCTTATTGACCTGTATCTATGTATTTTTTTCACATTTAAGAAATGTTTTTCTTCAGATTATATTCAAACTGTTTGCTGTTCTCAGCAAATGATCACCACACACACACACACACACACACACACACACACACACACACACACAATTCTAGGCTAGGGAAAGGGAAGAACACATAATTTATGACAAAGTTATGTCTTTGGCTTAGATTTTAAAAACTGATAACATGGGCAATCCAAGGCTCAGTAAGGCTAGCCACATTGTCCTCTTAAAGGCAGGATAGAATTAGGCAGGCTTGGCTATGGTGGGAGAGAAGGTTGAGCACAGTCTTAGATGATTTCAAGGTAGATTATTAACCTAGTTGTAAGGCTTGGGAAAAGTTCAAGGTCTCCTAAGGCTGAGGGTATTTACAGAAGAATCTGTCATCGTACCTATGCACATGAGTGTAGTGCCTGTAGCAGCCAGAAGGGGCACTGGATCACTAGAGATGGAGTTGTGGGTGTTTGTGAGCCTCCTGTCATAGGTGTTTACAACCAAACTCAGTCCATCTGCAAGAACAGGACACACTCTTAACCACTGAGTCTTCTCTCTAGCTCTTCTAGCTTATCCTTTGAGACAAGATCTCTTACTGGGCCTGGAGCATCAGTTGAGCTAGGCTTGTCAGTCAAGGCCCAGCAAGCATCCTTCTGTCTCTGCCTCCATGTTGATTCCCCTCTGAATTTTCTCTATTTTTGACAATTTCATACAAGCACACAATAAACTAGGTTCATATCCACTCCAATTCTTCCCCCAGATTCCTACATATTCTTCTGAACATGTTACTCAACCACCTTCATGTTTCATGACTTGAAAAACCCTATTAGGTCTTGTTAGTGTTTTCCATATATACATGGGTGTGGGGACATCATTGGAGCATATCCCCAGAGAAGGAAATTTTTCTGTCTCATAAATGATCAACTAGCAATCATTTCTCAGTAAGGGGAGGGGCCTGGAGGTCTTTTTTCCCAATCCAGCTATGATGTGGCCGGCTTGATCTTGTGCAGGCACTGGCAGCTGTTGTGAGTACATGAGCGTGATAGCCTTGTCGATTCTGGAAGACAGCATTCACAGCACCCCTCCTCCAGCGCTTACATTCTTTTTACCTTATCTTCCATGTTGTTCCCTGTCCTTGGTGTGTGAGGTGATGCAGTGTCCTGTTTAGGGCAGAGCACCATACTCAGCTTTTTATGTCAGTGCTGGAGATCCAAACCCAAGATCTCATGTTGTGCAGCAAACTTACTGACTGGCCCAATCCCAGCCTTATTTACCTTGCTTTGTTGTGTCTCCCTGTCAGGTGCGGGATGAATATAGGAAAGTCATCACCAGGAAGACTGAATCCAGCTCCCATTCCCAGACTTCAGGATCTTACTGACATCTATGCCACCCATTTCCAAGATGGTGAGG